ATATATATATATATATATCAATACCAATTCAAAATAATAAATAGACCTAAAAGAATCTTATAAAATAATTATAGATCCATGTTAAATTAATTTTATTAATTATAAAATAACATTAGATAAACTTGTGGTATATTTTTCTGACATAGATTTGAAATATTCATACTAAGAAAAAAGTCAACTAGATGTAATTGGATATTACCAATATTAAATATGTGAATTAAAAAAAATAAAATTAATCGGTTGTATGTTAAATTATTATTCAATTATTGCTTGAAAGGGAACACCATAATGGTTGTAAAATGTATATTTTGTGAATATAAGCATGAATTAGTTACTTATTATTTTATCAGAACATGAAAATAAATTCAAAACCTTTTAATATTATAAACAATATAAAACTACATTTTTATCAAGTATATTATTACTATCAAACACGTAAAAAGAACGCATTACATATAAATGTTCTCTAATTCTTTCAACAAATAAAATATCATTTGTGAATAAACTAAAAAAAACAAGTAAACCAATAGTAATGCAATGAGGAAAAGAAAAATTCTGAATTTTATTAGAAAAGTATGAATACTAATATCAAGAAACAAAAATCTTTTAAAATTACTACTTTTTTTGTTGTTAGGATTTAAGTATATGTTCTCTATATGAAATTAGTTCTCATAAATAATGATTCGATATTATCATAAGATAGACCCCAAACTTTAATAATGACTAAAGATAACAAATGACTAAGAGTATCATAATATAGTATAATTCAAATTCTTCTCATCTGAAATATTTTGACAAATACTTCTCAATATTGTCTCGTTGTTTTGTTTTATTTTGTTATTATTGAAGAATCAATAAAGGATCTTTATATATCTTGAATTTTTTAAGCATTAGTTATGATACAAAAGATTGGACAATAAATGCAATAAATGTTATTAGACACATAAATATTGCAAATCCGAAAGAATATGGAAGGTATCTATCTTTCAAATTAATAAAACTGAAAAGAGAATGTTTGATTCTGATCAAAATATTTTTCAATGTTGAATAAGTTGTCACTTTTTGATAAGAATATTTACAATCATAACTGTGTATTGTGCTCGATCATACGCTCAATTGTTTTAGAGTGCATATTTTCATGTAATGTGTGATGATTTCAAAAAAATAATTTAGCATCTTCAGAGAAGTACATGATTTCGAAAAATAAAATTTTATTTAGAGATGAAATTCGTTCCCACCTCATGGGGTAAGTACCAATTTATCTATGTGGAGAGAGAGAGAGAGAGAGAGAGAAATGTAGTAGTTTATACAGTGATTAAAAGAAATATCAAGAAATTTAATGTTATAATTGTTTATTTCACAGAGATACTTATGAACTAATAGTAAAAATACTTTATAATGATCATACAATCATAAAGTTTGACTATATGTTTGGCTAATGTATTTCTAAGTGTTGAATAAAACAGATGTTTTGCCAAATTAATCAAGAAGAATTTTGCAATACTGTTGATGTATTAGAATTCAACGAGTATGAATGTTTCTTATGAGAACATCAAAACCAAAATAAAAGAAAATGACTCTTGAATCTAACATAAATAAATAAAAGAACTCATGCATCTATAATATACATTATGTTATTATTTAGTCATTTATTGTTTTTTCATTAGGAACTCATTTTTCATATATTTTTGTTGGAGATGTAATATGATATTTAAATATTTTTATATTACGACAACACTTTTTTATTTAAAATAAAATGCATGAAAAGTTGATTTATTCTACATTTTATTTTGTTCCTGCAATCATATGTGTAATAAATTAATTAATTTATCTTACTAAATTTAATCGGTAAGAAACATTCGTCGCCACGTGCATCGCACGTGCACTTTACTAGTTGTTCAAAACAAACAAGTTGTTTTTAATTTTCATCACAAACAAAAAGAAAGTCCCAAATTAATAAACAGAAATGGACGTTGCTTGGAAAAAATGGTACACAACCAAAGCCACATACACAATAACATTCTTTTACACAATCAATCAATACAAGTGCAACAACAAATAAAACGCTACAAACACAAAATAACCAACTAATTACAACACAAAAACCATGGATCGATGGCAAGCTAACTAATCAACGCCCCAAATCGTACGCACAACTTTTCGTCGAACTTCAAAACGAGGCCTTTTCAAAGTTAGCAAAATACATAATCCTCAACAAGCCATCTCATCTATACTCCCCAAATCTCCAACAATATTCGCACTCTTTCCACCTTTTTTGGACACCACACGACCATTCAACCTCTTTAGCCCGAAACGTTGCTTCCATCCTTTATTATCTATCCTCGCGTGCACATAATTATTATCTTCATGTTCATCTTCATTCGCAATAAGCTCGTCCCTAAGAGTGGTGCCCATTTTGGGGAGCCTTTCCTCCAATGGCACAATCCTGCCATTGAAGAAAAGCTCGTCTGCAGAAATCATTGTGGTGTCATTATGATTGGCCGAAAGGTCGAAAAAGTCAAAATTTGAGGACACGGGGGCTTCTCTATAAGTGTTATCTACCATGGTTGGTAGTTGTTGTTGTTGATGATCAATGAGATCAAATGAGAATGAGATTCTTGCACAAGAATTGTAAAGGGCCATTGGAACTATTAATTATAAACTTAAAAAGGGCTTTACTAGGGAAATAATAATTCCTTAATTTTGTTTTAGTACACTTTTGGAACTAGGAAGGAAAGGTGGTGGTGTTCAACTGTAGCTCCACATGCAATGTCCTTATATAGTAAACTCCAAGGTTCACGTGAATGTAACAATTATATTTTTTTAACAATGTAAGGAAATTTCAGGTGATGTTTCTAAGGGTGTGTTTGGAAATAATATAATATATTTATGAACTAAGAGTAGTGTATCTTTTTATATTACCATTAGTTTATCCTCAATTTCATTTAGAATGATTTATTGATGTTGGGAAACGTACGAGTGAGACGATATTAATGAAATCGCACCGTAAATTCATATTTTCATTTAAAAATTATCTTCTTGACCGTTACTCCACCTCAGCTAAAGGATCAGGGAGTGAAGCATGTGAAAGACTTCGTTATCTAGATTGTTCTTAGAGTTGTATAAATAGGTGCTCTTTATTGTTGAGAGATCGTCTTTTTTTATTCAATCAAAAATAGTTTCCTTGAGCTGCAAAATCTGAGAGTGATAAAACTTCATTTTTCACCATTTTTAAGCTAGAAGTTCTTTAGACCCCTTTTCAGATCTCTCAACTATGAGCGCAGTTCAGTTTGTGACGAATTAACTAATTGTGAGAAAAAAAAAAAAAAATCAGAAATTTATTATTTTAACATATGATACATTATATAATTTAAAACCTTTCAGTAGCAGCACATGCATTGGCACATGGAAGTTGATAAAAACAAACACTAACTTTAGCCATTGATCTTTGAATAGCAATAAATTGCAAAAGCTCTATTTGTTGGAAGATTAAAATTGATCCAACTTTTAGCAGAGTTGAGCATTAGTAGTTGTCTTTGGAATAAGATTCCGAAGTAAACGAAAATACTACACCTACAATTTAATATGATTATACATTTTTCCAACATATAAGAGAATTTCGTCTTGAATGTGCTTGTCTATTCGAACATTCAAATAATATATTTTTCTCGGCCATTTCTACTTTTCTTCATTGTCCAATCATAATTATCCCTTATTGTATCCAAAAAGTGTGATAAAAATCTCTGAAAATTTCTCAATAGCCAGCTTATATGGTTAGTTAGAGTTGTTAATTATTAATTTGTCCCTATTATATCAACTAACATTAGCACGTTTTGTCTCATAATTAGTCGTACTCCAAATATCATCAAATCACACCTTGCTTAATCATTCATACCGGTACTAATAATTCAAATTAAACCAATATATATATATATATATATATATATATATATATATATATATAACAAGAAATATCAATTTTACCTAGAGACAAATATGTAGGTAAACTCTTTTACCTACATAAATATCTAGAGAATAACTCTAAATTCGTCTACTCGTTGGTATTTTTCCATGGAGAATTAGTCATTTCGGAAAATACCTAGATATTTGCTAGAGATTTGCAACAAAATAAAAATATGACATACCAAAAAAAGTGCCAACATATCAGTACCAAGACCGATGCTAATAGAATACTTAGAGAATACTTAAATATTTTTTTAGGACACGTTACTACAAAATACCTAGAAACTTATATTAGAGATTACATAGAGATTTTCTTATGTTGTATTAACATGCCTACAGTGGGCACATGTTAATATGTCCACCGACTTATGTGGCATGCACACATTGGTGATGTATTTTTTTTTTTACATATTAACATCACCAATGTGTGAATGCCACATCAACGGTGAGCATATTAACATGTGCCCACCGTGGCATGTGAGCATTTCTCCTTACTACAATACCTAAACAATTATATGCCTAACTAATAGCTACATATTTTTGTTTAATGCCTACATATTTTTTACCTACATAATACCTGGAGATTTTTTCAGGACCATTACTACATAATACTTAGAGAGATTTTTTCGCCTACAAATTACCCAAAAATAAATAGTTAGAGATTATCTACAATAATTAAAAGCTAGAGATAGAGATTTTCCTAGTACAAACATGTACAAACAATAGATTTTTCGTTTTCCATATAATTATATTGTAAATGATTCCCTCTATTTTATATATGATACAAAACATTGTTAAGCTATATTATATTTTATTAAATATTTGTAGGAAATGTCTAGATAATACATACGTATTTACCTAAAAAATAAATATGTAGGTAAATACTTAGAGACAAATTTGTAGGTAAATCGTATTTGTAGAAAGTTGGGCAATCTGTAGGCATTTATGTAGGGAATTTCATCGGGAAAATAAAAATAAGATGGCTAGAATATATAATATCGAGGTCTGTGTGAACACAGTGTCCTTAAAACAGATTCGCCCCATATGAGCGTCTGTTTCCCAGGATACAACGGAAAAACCGAAATAAATCTGGTGAACTGAATTATGTCTGGACCAAAACACCTGAAATGAAAAATATGGGGAAAAAGCCTTTAGGTGTATTTTTCTTTTCTTGGTTTCATATATCACTTTCTTCACAAGAAGACAAGTCTTTTATAGTCTTAAGACAAGTCAGTTCATTAATTAAACCATTTAAATCAAACTTAATAATGTTAAGTTAAATGTAACATTTATGAAACCAAGTTACAAGTTTTAAAAATAAACACACACGGTTTCAAATTAATTCATCAGTTACAATTTCATTCACAAATTTTCCAACAATTTACGCCAACAAACTATATTTGTTGGTGTATAACTACAAATTGCCTACAAATATTTGTCTAGTAATTTTGTTGTTAGAGATTCGTTGGTAATTTGTAGTAGTATTTTAATATACAAAAATATTTATAAATTTTCTGTAGATAATATATTGCTATTTACCAATAAAATATTTTGTTGGTAACATTGTAGTCTATATCGTTTTATGTTTAGCTTAAGAGATTCCCTATACAAGAACCGACTTTTAACCATTGAACTTTGACCATCAATCTTATATAAAATGCTTTTTTTTCCCCTATTTAGAAATTTAAGGAGTTGCTAATTCAATTGCACATGGGGCTGATAAGTGGATATTGTAAAGAATTATATTGGATCTGATACCACCAGTTGGCTTCTTTTCAAAAGTCGGTCAAAACTTTCCTTGTTTCGTTTTTAAATTGTAAAATTAGTTTACACATGCATTATCTTTTTCAATCCAGTATTTAATAATTTATTGTTTTTGTGGAATTGGTTTTATTAGAGATTCATTCTTTTAGTTATTTGATATTGCAAAATTCTACCATTCTCACCATAAATTACCGCCAATTTTATATTTAAAAGACCCCCTGGCACTAACTGGGGTTATATTCCAACGAGAAATTCTATGATAATAAATTTCAACGGATATTTCAATTGTATAGTTTCCATTAGTTTCATTCCAACGGAAATTCCAAAGTCAAGTTCCATCTAAAATTCCAATGAAAAACTCATTCCAATTGAAATTTCAACGGATATTCCAATAGTATAACTTCTGTTAAAATGATTCCAATGAACATTCTATCGAAAATATTCCGTTGGAATGAGTTTTTTATTGGAATTTTAGATAGAATTTGACGATTTCAACGTCTATTTATTCAACGGTTATTTACCGTAGGAATATGCAATTTTGTTGGAATTTTTATTTCCACCCACATTGGAATTATTACAATCCAACAGAAATTCCAATGGAAAGCTCATTCTAACAGAATATTTTTGTTGGAATTTTTCAGTGGATACCTAAGAAATGGGGTGGGTTAGGCTTCCAAGACATCCAACCTTTTAATGATGCAATGATTATGAAACAACTATGGAGGTTACTAACTAAACCTGAGCTCCTAGTAAGTAGATTACTTAAAGCCAGATATTTTCCTGAATCTGATTTTGTGGATGCTAAAAGAATTTCTGGAGGGTCTTGGATTTGGAACAGTTGGATGGATGTAAAGGAGAAGTTTGATCGGAATATTCAGGTGGAGCTGCACAGTGAAAGGAATACTTTGATCTAGGATATCCATGGGTGAAGAATCTGGGAAACAAAAGAGTGACCTTCAAGGAACATGTCCAACACTCTCCTGTCTGGGTTGAGGAATTACTGCTAGAGGATGGGAGGAACTGGAATAGTGAGCTGGTGAACCAGGTTTTTGAAAGTGGTTATGCAGAGGCTATATTGCAGATGAAGAACTTGAAGCCAGGGAAAAGGGATGGCTGGGTGTGGAAACTGTTGTAGAAAAATATATTTTTACCGAGTACCGAATTGAATGATTCGTTCCCCAGGTCGATATCTCGAGGAAGGCGGTTCGGAATTTAGCTTTGGTATCGATCACACAAAAAAAGAAAATAAATCCTAAACACTCTAATCAGATTGGGGGTTGAATGAATTATTAACTAAGAAATAATATAAAACATGAATCTACCTAAAAATATAAGCGACACAAAGATAAAGAAGCTAAGGAGTCGGAGATGATGATTTTCTAACCAATGCAAATATCAAGCTAAGATCATTCGGTTAAATGATTCGAACAACCTAACGTCTAGATATAGTCCTCAATAACTCTTCGTAACAAGAGGATAACATAGACGGTAAATCAAACAAATCACATAACACATAGACAATACGTTTCCGAACAAGTCTATTTAATGTGAGCCTAGATCGATCAACTCCTCCCCTTTCGGTTCTAAAAGTTGATTAAATTATCCTAGACGATTGTTAATCTACTAGTTCGTTGGATTTAAACACATCACACAAGATTTAATCATATTCAATTGGAAATCAATTGCAAATCGAAGTGTCACTCTTCGACAATATTCAACATTCAATCCACGAGAATTATAAATCCTAGTTAAGCACAACTCGCATAAATTGAACGATCAACAAGCATGATAATCACAATTAAATTCTAAACATCATCATCTTCCCCTATCCCTAGCGAAACGAATTAGCTACTCATATGGAATTCAAAATCAACAATCTCAACAATCAAATCCATCATATTCATGGATTAGATGAA